CATTTTTCAAGTGGAAAATATTTTTATTCAAGATAACGATAGTTTATATCGTTTGATATTATACTTTTGTTCGTTTCAGGTTGATAATTATAATACAATAGACATTAATAATATAATATGATAACGTATACACATAGGTAGGTAGTTAAATAGTTTATTATCAAATGTACCTAATTATAATAAATAGGATATCGTGAAGTATCATATTTAAAATAATTTTTATATACAAGCAGTGGCGGATCTATGGGGGGGGCGACGTGGCGATCACCCCCCCCCTTGGGCTTTTTTTTTTATTACAGATTTATTTAATATTTTCGATTTATAGATTTACACATTACACAATACATTTTTATAAATTAATAATTATTAATTATTATTTTTTTTTCTCTTTATGTTTCATGATAACAATGATAACAACTTTATCAGACAATGACATATTTATTTAAAGTATTTATACCATAGATTTATATTATTAATAATATAATATATCTATGATTTATACATAGAAATTATCTGTGATAGTGTGATTATTTATTTATAATGAATGCAAAATGTTGATGGATGAATTGGACATTCATTTGAAAATGCCTAGGGTGTCAGCTCATCAAAAAAATAGATCAAATCCGAATAACATAAATAATTGTGAAGACTATTTCAGAATTACAATTTTCATTCCGCTTTAGGTGATATATTACCAAAAAATGTTTTTGATACTTTGGATGCATGTTGTAGGATAATCTTCCCAACAATTAAATCCTTGATTTCTATACTTGCTAGTTTGCCAATTAGTACTGCTTCCGCTGAACGCAGTTTTTCCACTTTGCGCAGGTCAGATAACTAATGATAAAAATAAAATTTTGCTTTTTAATTTAAGATGAAAATATCTGCATCTAAATTCCGAAATGCTTTGCATGTTTGCTTATTTCTTATTGTTTTTAATTTGTAGATCAAAAACATGGTTGAGATCGCGAATGAGCGAACATAGGCTGAATGGCTTGGCTTTATTGCACACGCATAAAGATATTATTGTAAACATAGAAGAAGTAATTAATAGATTTGCAAATGAAAAAAAAAAGAAACGTACAATTATTATTATAATTATACCTATTTTTGAACAATATATTGTTATAGCTATTTAAAACAAATAAATGTACCTACAATTAATTTTAAGTGTTGTACTTCTTTTTCCATAAATTACTTGAACTACGGTCAAGTCTTCATTGCCGGGGCAACAGCAGGAAATGCTTTTTCTTGGTGGGGGGAGGGGTTGAAAAAATGTATACTGATAATTTTATAGTATACGGATTATACAATTTGATCCGGATTGATATACGGATTTCTGGGGGTGGTGACCCCCTCCACCCACCAGGTTTGACCATACTCATCGTACTTGTATACTACTCATGGATATTCCTATTCAAAATTCGCCCCCCCTTTAACCAAGCTTCAGATCCGCCCCTGTATACAAGACATTAATAATGTAATGTATTTGTTAGAAATGCCAATAACCGTAGCAGCTAGGGACCTATAGTGCTTATAAATAAGTAAAAAATATAATATATAATATTAATTGATTAGACTGCAAAAGCTGAGTATAAAATACATTTTCTGTCCTTAAAAGTTAAAAATTATAATAATTTTAGTTGATGAATAAAATATTTTTACCAAAAACAAGTCATGTTGTCTTAAAAATACCAAAAACCAACAACTGCCGGAATGCAATATAATATAATTTTAAATGTACAAAAACCCTTGTTAATCCATTAGTCTAAGCTAACGCAATAATTTTAAAATATTATCTCAATTTCGTAATTCTGTAGATAGAGTCTATTCCGCAGCAATATAAAATACGTGCGATCACTATTAATCCAAGGCGGATGAGATTATATTTTCGAAAATAACAATTTAGAAACGGACGGTGATAAGAGCCACGTAGGTAAATGGGAAAACGCAAGCATAAAATTCCTTCGAGTAATAAATGCCGAGGAAGCAGCAGTCAAAAAATTAGTAACACAAAGTAATATTTTACGTTTTTTATATTTATCTACATCACGTGAACATATATTATTTTAAATAAGTATCGGGAAAAATTACACTCAGCCCTGAGCATGCTAAGTTCCCGGTTTCTGCACGTGATTTATATGTGTCCATTAATAATGAAATATCTCCAGTAATTAACGTTAAGTTTTCTAATCGAGTACGATACGCTTTCAAATTTGGCATTACGAAAACGGTAAACACATCTAAACAACAAGTGCGATAAATAAAATCTCTGATCTATATTGTGAAATGGCAAGATATTAAGAATATAGTATAGCTGATGTACCTACGAAATAATAATAGTCGAACATTTAATTGATTTAACTATAATATTATTTATTAATATATGTCATTATTGCAATGGTCAATTATATTATACTATTATCACTATAATGACAAAAATAATATGAGAAAGTGTGTTCAAAAACGTATTGTGCAAATATCTATACTATAGACCAGGGGGGAATTAGGAGGGGGATTAGGGGGATAGATCGCCCCCCAACCAAATTCCTAATTACGCCACTGCTATAGAGTATAATATGTTTTTATATAAGATATTAACTGTGGAATTTTACAAACTGTATAGGTATATGCTATTGCACTGAAATTATAGTGACAGATGGTCACAATGAGAATACAAGATAATTCGTTACGTTTAATAAAAGAAAGAGTACAAACCGGCAATTTAACGATTTCCGAGATATACAGCTCTATTTTAATATAGGTAGGAAGTCGGTACAAATCTGCTGCACGCTGGACGGGATTATAAGGTGTTTACAAGAGAACTTTGGTGATAACCGAGGTGAGTTTCAGCCAAAACTACTGCACGTAAGCGGTACCTACACTAGATTTATAACCTACGAATACACATTTTACGACAGGTGATGCAGAAAATGAGGAACGTACGACGACGGGAGATGTCCATCTATTTTTCATAAGCTTAAAAGAAAAAAAAAGAATGATTCCATTTAAGAATTGGCACTATAAGGTATATATACGGCATGTGTTCATGCCAAGAGGTACCACTAAATATTTCAATTCGATGACCTTGTAGTGAAATGGGGTTTTCGCTGAATGACTGATATAGTACTTAAATACACATTTTCAGATAAATTTCAAATATTTAACACTTTCGATACGCACTTGCCGGATACAACTTACTTTTTTTTAAATGGTAACATCACTTTTTTTTACATACTCGGATTGAGTATTTTTTTCTAAACAATTTATGTAAAAAAGTTTTTTTCTAATTACAAAATTGGCATATGAAATTTAACGATGAAATTTAATATTTATACGAGTACCTAATAAATGTACAACGAACAGGAATTATACTATATTAATTACTGAAAAATGTTGCTAAAGTTATTTTTATTATCTTACCTGTGTGCAAACAATATTTTATATTAATAAGTAACAATAAGTTGAATTTAATAAATTTTGTCAAAAAAAAATAGTTACTCGTAAATACCTATTGAATTTCATATGTCAATTTTGTAATTAGAAAAAAAACTTTACATAAAAATACATAAATACATAAATTGTTTAGAAAAAAATACTCAATCCAAATATGTAAAAAAAATTGATGTTACCATTTAAAAAAAATTAAGTTGTATCCGGCAAGTGCGTATCGAAAGTGTTAAATATTTGAAATTTATCTGAAAATGTGTATTTAAGTACTATATCAGTCATTCAGCGAAAACCCCATTTCACTACATGGTCATCGAATTGAAATATTTAGTGGTACCTCTTTGCGTGAACACACTGTATATGATATAGCACAGGTAACTGAAGAATAAGTAAATAGTCCAACTGCACCAGAGAAAAAAATGTAAGAAGCAATATAGCAATGCAATGAAACGGTTGAAATGGATTGATGACGATAACGAACCAAGGTGGTATATATAATATTAAATATATATACCTCGAACTCGGGGGAGAACATCGCTGGCCACTATATAAGGTGTCAAAGATTAAAAGGCAGGGAGGTAGAATCAGAAAAAAATATTGTGAGAAAATAAAATTGGGAATTACTGATGACTGGAGATTGGCAGAAAATGTGTAGGTACGACGGAATAATATGGTTTTAATGGCCAATTTACCGCCGATAATAAATGGATATTATATAAACGGTGGTACCTATATATACCTATACAGAAACTTACTTAAATCGGACCGATTACTGCTTTTAACGACTCGGGGGAAACTGTGTCAATCGAAAGTTTCTATTTTAGTTCGGCGATATATCTATAGAGTATAGATAACTATTAATTATTATAAATCGCCGTCGATCCGTGTCTGTAGACACTTGTCATGACAATCGAGCGGCGTGACGTTGATACCCAGCGTCGCCGGACAAGGAAATCATTTCCGGGAAAAGCCCTCACATGGCTGTCACGGAACTCGCGACAAATCACGAAATGGTGGTAGGGGTGGAGATAGACGAGTCATCGGCAAACATTGTCGTTTACTATACACCTAGTATAATATTTTTTAATTCATCCTCGGCGGACTGGATAAAGATTTCGGTGGTTGCACGTGGTATATAATTATTTTAATAATAACAATAATATTATATTATAAAACTATAAAAGTTACTAAAAACCGGCACCAGGTGTAGGTATAGAAGTGTGTCTCACGCGAGGAGGGCAAAAGTAAATAAAAATGATTCCTTGCCGGTCGTTGTCTTTTAGTCAGTGGCGGCAGCGCTCGCGAGAAGAACAACACGCATCGGGGTCAGTCGGCGGCGCCCTCCCACCCCCTCTAACAACACCGCCATCGCTGACACTGTATACCGAAATCACCACACACACACACACACACGAGCGCGCGCGCATACCACGGTAGTGGTAGTGGTAGTGGTAGCGGCGGCGAGCACGCGACTGACGGTTGTATGCACTATTATACGTCTACGTGCGTGTGTGTACCGCGGTTTGTGTGGGGGGGAGGTGAGGAGGCGGATGCTGTATGCTAGAGCGGGCGTGGTGCGTTCTGGTACCTCCACCGCTACCGCCACCACCACCGCCGCAGTCGACACCACCTCCGGTGCAAAAGGTCTCCCCTCCACCCCGACGACCATTTCCTCACACCCCAGACCATATTCTGGTCGACGGCGTCCGGGGACCGACGATGATGACGACGACGACGACGACGACGACTACGACGACGACGACTACTACGACGACTACGACTACGACGACGACAACGACTACGACAACGGTGGTAGTGATGGTGCCGGTGGCGGGAGCAGCGGCAGGGCGGTGGACTGGATGGGCCAGCGGGTGGGCGGGCGGTGGCTGAGGAGTGCTCGGAATTATCGAACAGCGGCCCCGAAACCTTTATGACGGGGGCGAAGCGCGCGCTTTCCGCAGCCTCGCTACGGCGCGCCTGGGCCGCGAGAGAGCGAACGCGGCGAGCGTCGACCGGCGGCGTAGTGCGGGTCGGGGACAGTGGTGGAGAGCGACCGCCGGGCGATGGTGAAGGGACCACCGTGATCGGGGGAGCGGGGCGGGACGCGCGAGGCAAAGCGTGTGCTGCGCGCTTCCCCAGCGTCCGCCGCCGCCGACGCCGCCGCCGCGCGTGGTGTTGATGATAAACGAATACGCAGTCTGGCCGTGCGGTGCGCGACACTCAGACGCCCGCGACCCATCGCCGCTGTCGTCGTCGTCGTCTCGTCGACGAGACACCGCCGCGCTCGCTGAAACGCCGATTGATACCAAACACCCGCCGTTGAAGCGATCAATTTGAAATATTGATAATATTATTACAATCGATCAGGCGTGTTCCTATAACATAATAGGTAAACTACGTCAGCGTGTGTGCGTAAAAAATATATATATATATATTATATTAATAAAATAATACTGGAATCGAACACGTTTCTATCCGTCCCGTACCGATTTACGATCTAATCGCTGGCGTTTTCTGCCGTCGCGTTTACTCACCGTCGTCGTGGTGTGTAGGGTGCGCGAGTGACATGTCCGACAATCCGGGCGCCACCAACGCGGCCGCCACTGCCGACGAACCGGTCTGCACCGAAACCACGCCGCAGCCGCCACTGCCGGTACAGCACCAGCAGCAGCTCGACGAAGGTTCCCGATCTTCACCGGCCAGACAGCACCAGAACGGTGGTTCGCCTGCTACCATGGCCGCGGTCGTCCCGTCGCCGGACACGCCGCGCAAGAGAGGTACGAATCACCCGACGGGCGAGTTATTATAATGGCGATGACACAAAAACAGATCTATTATAGGAACACCGCAGTTTTTAGGCATAAGGCAGCCCTATCCTAGGGTGATCGTACCATTTTTGGCACCATAACATCCCCTCGTCCCGCCATTTCGGGAAACCATAGTCAATAGTTATACGATTTTCGTACATAACGTGTATGCCCACGAACAACTTACTACAGTTAGCAATAAACATGAGACATGTCACATGTGTAATGAATACACAGTGTGACACAGTCTTTTCAACATCTTGACACACTCTTTTCGATATCTTGACCAACTGGCAAACTTTTTAACCAAAATGTCTTTAAAAACATAATAATTATTACATAGGTTTTGGAATCATTTTTCTTTTTAGTTAATCCAAAATTATGTGTTGTCACGTAATTTAATTCTTAAATACGGTCACTTTATGACTGCCGAGTTCAACCGGTTCGCAAAGGTGTAACTGTCGTGGTCTGTGAAACGGACCTTTTAATCTCGATCGGTCGTCTGTAAACGAGATGAGTGAGATGATTTATTTACGTTTTTTAAGTTTATGCGAATTTCTAGAGGAAACGCGTACAGCGTCGCTATTATTAAAGTTATTATTATAAAATTGTGCAAAACGGGGACGGACTACTCGGCCAATAATAATAACAATCGTCGAGACGGCGGTGGTATAATATTGTATATAATATTATACACAGCTGCTATACGGCGGCTTTACCATAATATAATATAATATTAATATATCGTTTTCCGACGAAACATGTCGTCGGGAAAATGACACGGCGTGTGCACGTATTATTATCACATAGTATACGCCGAAATGTTAAATAATTTGTACCGGCTAATCTGTACTACACAACTGATGAAATAATAATAATAATAACATATTATATTACAAGCGATCGTGTGGCGGTCATCATCGTCTCCGCACAGGACCCGTACACATATATATAACACTTATGCGTATATTGTATCGATTGATTCCGTATCCGACCGACGTCATTGCCACGGCCGTCGTCATGCTGGCACATTATTTAAAATTTAAATCAAAAAAATGTCCTATTATTACCGGTATAATATTATGTTGATATCGTCATATAGTACTAGCTGTTACACGAATTCATATCGATATACGTTCTATACTCCGTCGCGTAGATTGGCACGCTGTCATATATAATATTATGTAATTTATTATTATTTCGCATAGTGTGAATGTCATCATATTATAAGACTTCCGAGAACGGTCGGTAACGGATCTTGAGATGCACGTCAAGACGAAAAATCGCCTCGTGATATTATAATTATATTGCAAAAGATTACATTTACTTAATATGATGTACCTATACTCTGTTCCAAAAGAGAACGGTCACTTTTCGAACATACAACTTACGGCTATGGCAGTGCAAAGGCCCAACATCCACCACCTTGCTAGCAGACGTTTCTCGAAGATGTTGACGATTGCCGGCTAGAAAAGGGGAGGGGAATTTTGGCCTTTGCACTGCCGCAGCCGTCAGTTGTTTACGCGAAAAGTGACCGTTCTCTTTTGGAACAGAGTATAGTCCGTATAGGTCAACCTATACGCATTAAAATAATTGTATTACATATACCATTAGTGCTATAAGAACATAACATATAAGCAATCGTGTTGTTATGGATTGCCAACGACGTTATATTTCAATTTTAACCAACTAAAATAATATAACAAAAAGTTGCATTTTTTTAAGGAACCGAATTTGCTATAGGTACCAAATGGTTTAGGTATATTAATAATATATTATATGATGGAAAAAAATTCGACCCTATGATTTTTAAAACTGATATTCTAGGTCCTCATAATAAACGATCCAACTTTAAAAACATATAGCCAAGTATTTCGTTAATATTCCGTTGAGGTTAGGAAAAAACAATGAAAGATGAAAAACAAAACTTTTGTGAAGAGTATGGTAATAAATTTGTCCTGGGAGACATTCCGCTTTACCCATCACCTATTCCCACAAAATAATACTCACGGTAGATAAATATAGTACCGATGTATACAGTTATCGTTGAAAATTTGTGACCGGAAACCGTGACTAAAACCGATCGCTTATAATATATATTATATAAGTTATTTTAATATAATAATTATGCGAATGACCTTGAACAATATTATGTACGCACCTATATAATGTATATACCTACACATGACATTTCAGACGCGTTTATTATACATATACTTAGTGATAAAGACGAATGCGTAGTCCTTAAATCGTTCAATTACACCCTCGCCATTGACGTTTGCAAACAAGTGTGAAAATAATAATTTACAATATCGATACAACTATTATACTTATATGAACACATTATACGTACAAGGTATACTCTACGATACTTCCTATAATACACAGACGCAATCGTGTTTAATTGAAAATTACATGTTGTATGCTTTACCCATGTACATCTATAATTATGAAAGTATGCCATGTGTAGCACTTGTCTGTGTGCGCCTTCAAACTTATATAAATTCGTATCATTCGTGGTCTAAAACGAGTAATGATGCCAATTCGTCGTCTAAATATTTGTATTAAATATTTATTTCATATTTGTCTTAAATATTTTGTATAATTTTCAGGAAACTTTCTTTGTTGCTTTACATTATTATTGTACCTATATATATAATATATATATTATACATATTATGTAATGTAATCTAATTATGGTGAAAAACATTAACCCATTTGAATTCAATTAATAATTAATTGCCGAATGTAATGTAACATCAATACACCAGTGCCCGCAGCATTATAACTGCAGGAAACATATTATTTTAACAAAATTCAAATTTTGTAGCCAAGGAAATTGTTTCGGTCTTCAAAGAATAATAAGACCAAAGGACGCGTTCAATAATAATTCAATTTGCTCAAACCTAACTCGGTTACAATACAATCAAAATATGTTCTCATAAAATAATTTTAAATTTAAAAACATTTCTCTAATAACTTTTATTATTTTTAAATTCGCAAAAGTCAGTCAAAACTTACTAATAGCGATCAATGGAAAAACAAATGAGAATTTTTCTTTGATTGCATATTCACAAGAAATTATTGAATATCCTTATTATAGTAAATTAATGTTTAAATATGTTTAAACTTTATAAAAAGTACGGTTACAGTTAACAAATGTTATGTTTAATGGTTTATTCAATTTAGAAACGTAAAAATATATCATAATATTTAAAAAAATAATATCATCATTTATAATAAAAGTAAAAACATTTCGTTTCTAATTGCACATAAAACAAAATTATACTATGACAGGTTATATTGTAACTATATAATATAATATATTAATATAAGTATTTTGAAGTACAAAACATATTTAGAAAATTTTTTTTCCCGTAACTAAAATACTGAAATAATTTATTAACATTTAATTGGTATGTCAGCTGGTAGCGTTAATATAAATTATAACAATAGCTGCAACACAAAGTTACAATTATATCTAATTAGGAAAGATTCAAAAATTTCAATTACAGTTTTAATGAAAAAATGTGAAAATGTTCATACTTTTTTGTGGATAAAATTGTACGACACACATATTCGTTTAAAATTCAACTGACAATCGTCACATCATTGTTAAGTCATACGCTTTGCTTCGCCCGATCAGTTAATATATTTCAATTAAACAGAAACTATTTTAGTATTTTACATTCGTTGTCAAATGTCTAAACAGATGATTTATAATTTAAAAAAAAAATTATCAATACTATTCGTATGGTATATTCTATATTATGTAGTAACACTATACATCAATAATAATTATAGTTACAAATTCATGGAAACTAAATTACCATTAAAAATAATAAGTTAGAATATTCAATATATAAATTTTCGTATACAAATCAATGGGTTAAACTATATAGTTAAAGTCTTACTTTAGTTAAAGGGACAACTAATATTATTATTCAAATATAACCTTCTGAGTTCTGATAGAAAACGAACTCGGGGCTTGGGACCAAAATAAAAAAATACTTGTCCTTGAACTGGAACTCTTTCAACCTTTTAAAAACAATGGTACGGGAACCTTACCAGAACTGATTCTCGATTTTCCTAGGAACTGGCACCGATATTTTTTGGTAGAGAAATTTTCGGTTTAATTCCATTCAAATATTATTGGTTAATTTAATTTGGACATAAATGCTTACGTGGATATATTATAATGTTCTATATCTATCAAGAGTTCTAGAAAATTCTAAATTATGTTTAGTAACCAACATTTTAATAAATTAAGGGGAATGGAAAGGGTAAAATTCTGTCTTTGTCTAACACACGTTTAACATAAGAATTTAGACCTATTTTCATTCCAACGTACCGATTGATATAAATTAGCGATAAGAATTCTAAAGACAGATTTGAATTTGTCGTCAAGTCTACTTCATATCGATCTCCCCAACTTTATTTTATTTTATTTTCTCCAAAAATGTAATTGTTTTATTTAATTTTTTAGTACAATTTTTTTTATGATTTGGGGGGAGATAAAATTAAAAATATGGGAAAGTCGATCTGAAGTAGACATGACGTCAAATTTAAAAGTGTTTTTAGGATTCTTATCGCTTCACTAGATCAATCGGTACGTCGGAATGAAAACTCTTCTAAAAACTAAATGCTTATGGTCCACGTGTGTTAGACAAAAACAGAAAATCACAGCTTCTAATCCCCTTAATCATTATTCACCCGTCCGTTAGTTATTGATCCATCGTTATGAATGTTATGATTATTTCCCTAATTACCTATAGCTAATTAATAGTTTCAGACGATGACGTCTAGTGACGTCGTTGACTATATAGCAAAGTGATTATTAGAATCGTCATAAATACGCAACCCTATAAGTATGTATCATATTGTGACATGAACTAATAAACATATATACCTATTTATTTCGAAATACATATTACATAATATAATATTATGCTCAATAACTTATGTACCTATAGTTTCTTATAAAATTAAAATAGCATTTTAT